GTAACATTATTTTATATGGGATGTATTCGGGACCGAACAAAACGGACGATGCATCCGGGAAAACGATAGTTCCGGGAACGATGGATAGAGGTTTCACTGTAATAGCATGACTTTGAACTTTGGGTTGCATGACTTTTGGGACACTTGTTAAAGTATATGTAAGCATGCAGTAAATTAAGAAATCTGAAGAAAACTGATTTTATAAATTGTGTAACTTTAAGAAATAAAAAAATGTGGGACACCCACAGTTAACTGTACAAATGAACAAGGAGGTGGCACTGATGGGACCAGATTACTTGTGACTTCTTATGCATTGTGTGAAGAGCAGGGTGATACACACTGCGCATACACCTACACACTTTTTCTAACCTTTTAAAAAGATTGCCTTGTATCTCATAGGAATAAATTTGGAATTATTTGATGGATCCAGTGTCTCCTTTTTCACTATGGGATATAATTCTGATCTAGACCTTTTCACAGAAGGTGATGGCAGTATAATGTGTTGATCAGAAGACAACCCGGTTTATGAGGTATAATTGCTCAGGGTTGAACACATTGTTACTGTCTGTACCGTGTGACCAGTTTGTTACAAAAGAAATGGCTATTGAATGGTAAAAGACATATTACAAAGACTTGTTTTGCAAAAATATTTTATTACTTCATTTAATTTTTGGGCTCATTTTAATAATTGGTATTGTATAAAATGCTTTCATTATTATGTAATTTCTCTTTTCTAACAATTTATCATACATTCTGCTAGTCACAAAGTACCTGGCTGAGCAGTTATACATCTGTCTCATATTTTGTAGGGTAACTAGTTTTACCATACTGGCTGCTAACCTGACTTGTTTCTGTGGATTTTCTCAATTCATTTGGATGTGTATGTAGATAGTGTATTCAAACAGGTTGTGACTGCATCAGAATCCTTCCCTACTCATCATTTATGATCATGTACAAATCTTGTTCAATACTGTAAAACTTCTCAGCAGAAATAGAATTGTTGAGTCATCAATATGACATGTGACTGGATTTTTGTTGTCTGAAGAAACAAGATGGTATAAGACGTGAAGATGGTCAGCGAGAGAGGGAGCATCCATGGGCAGATGCAAGAACAAAGGGAGCAGAGGAACGAGAGCGGAGGAAGCGGGGAGAAAGGGAAGATGAAACAGGAGTGCCACCAAAACCCTCAGGCAGTGTATCATTATTTGACTTTGTTCAGAACAAACTCCCTCCCCAGAATGGTATGTTTTCTAGTTGGAATATCAAAAATCTACAAATAGTTACAGTATACAGTGAAACCTCGATGCATCGTTTTCGGCGGGGGTGGGAAATAAAAACGATAGATGCGGGAAAACGATAGATGCGGGAAAGCATTAAAAATTTTAAAAAAAAACAATGTTTCTCTTTCAAAGTTACTTCTTTTTACCAAAAAAGTCTTTAATGGACAACTGGTTTGTCGAAACTTTACGTTTTAGACCAAACAGAGTACTTTCCACGTTCAAAATGTTTTCCTCGTCACGTTC